AAACTTTTTTTTTTTTTTTTTTTTTTTTTTTTTTTTTTTATGAAAATTGCTGTTTACGAGCACAGCGTTTTTCGTACCTGATACATCTGTATTATGAGTCTCTCCCTGGGAAATAAGCTTTAATGGATTTTCTTCCTCGCCGATGTCTACTGTCAGGAGAATTTTGAATTCTTTAAGTTTTGTTCTTACGCTATGGCCGCCATTTCAGGTTGCCGCCTCGTACCCCCCCGCTACTGGTAACCCTTTTGCAGCACAGCTTTTGATAAAGTCGGTGGAAAATTGCAGTGAAAAGCCTGAATTAAAATGATGTAGCATGAGTAGCCCGGTACTGCCTACTAGTTGGATCGGATTTTCGACGTACTGCCTCCCCCCTCTCTCCCTTTCCCCAAAGAAGCCTTTGAAGTCTGTTGCGGATAAATAGTGATAGGAGTGCGCAAATTTAAAATGGGTGCGCATATCTGGGACGTTAAAAAATCGTGTTTTTTTATTTTTCAGTTTTCTACTGGCAGAATTTTGCCAAATTCTTCAGGGTGTGAGTAAAAACGAGTAAACTGTGGAGACATATGATTTCTCGCTATGCCGCCTCGGCGGCGCGCGTCATAAAGGTATCGGCTCGCGCTGGCCCACCGTCAAAAGCAGCACTCTCACTGACACAAGCTGCCATTGGACGTGTAAAATATTTGTTAAGCCAGCGTCCTGAGATGAAGGCACTCAAGGTTCGCTATACTCTTCATGTAAACGTCTTATTCTAAATTCTGGTCCCCAAGCAGACTTGACGCTTCTGCCGATGCCGAGCCCCGTTTCAGGGTCCAGCACTTCAGCAACAGTCTTTTTCAAGGGATTGGCCTTAGTTGTAGTGCGAGGAACTAATAACATGTACGGGGTTGGCATTCTTTTAAAGGTTGCGGCCACCGAGCGGTCACTATGAGTGAATTACAGTCAAAGGCAGGGCGCACCCTACATGAAATCAGTTACCTCCAGTAGTTTTGCTCATTTTATGCCATGCATGTTTAAAGCCGTTCCACCGGGTCTCTCCCGAATGGTCGTTTTGTGTTACGCGGGTGTCACTCGGTGCTGTGCGCCAGCTAGCTTCCCCAAAACGGTCACTTAAGCAGGTATAAAGTTTCTGTACACACAGGCACAGTTCCTTGGTTTGGAAGGCAACTTGTCGAGCTTCAGGCATTAGTGGGGCTAGTCTTAATAACGCAGAAGTTCCCACAGCGATGACAAATTTGCTGGAATCTTGACTACATTCCAAAACTATTTATCAAAAGTAATTCATTTGCTAGTTTTTTCATAAAGGATTTTTAAGTAGTATTTTCGTAACTATTAGTGTTCATAAGGAGATTCTTAATTCGTATTCTTAAGAACACTTTAAAAAAATTCTCGAGAATTCTTAAGAAGTCATTTAAGCAAAGATAATTTTGTAGATACAAAAGTAAACGAGAAAAAGTGTAAAAAAACTCATAAAACCATGAAATTCACAAAAATTTCATCATAGTTAAATTACAGTAGACTTGCTGGTTATTTTCGTCAGATTTTTGCAAGAGTTTGAACTTTACATTTTTTTCTTGCAATTCATGCTGCAGCATTTTTTTATTATAGATAAGCGTAAAACAGCGTGGCTGTAACGGGCTAACGTACACTCTTGAGTATGCACAAAAGAAGGCAAAACTTGATGAAGAAGTCGTCCAGGTGAATAATTTTTCCGAGTTTATCCTTTTTAGAGAATCACATTACATAGGTCTCTTCCTTACAAGCTTGTGCACGCTGGTCCCGTGCAAAATTCTTTCAGTCATCATCCATTCCCTATTTATGGAACTCTTTTTATGCGCTTTGTGCTGCAACGGATGCGCAAAACGCGCATTGTCAAGACATTATTTGTGTGTGCGTGTGTTTGTGTGTATGTTTGTGTCTGTATATGTGTGTGTTGATGGCGTGTTTTAGTCGGAATTTTCAACTCAGAACGCAAAAGCTTGAAAACTGAAACTTGTGGAGGATGTTCCATGCTTATGTGCGATCTCGCAAGTTTAAATTCAGCCTTAATGCACGCCTACATCTCACGCACGGACGCATGAGAGTTTTAGCGGGAAATTCCGTAGCTCGGGAAACAGACGACATTTCAACTATTTTTTCACACCGCCATTCTGTAGAGCAGTGGACATTCTTAACAGCAAATATCTGCTGGATGGAGCTGCGCAAAACGTATGATTGCACCGGCTAACCGTAGTACGTGCTGCTGTTTTGTTGCTTCAGGATGGTGTGCGGCTTTGGATTGACACGAAAGCACAGTTGACTTTGTTAGGCAGTGAAATGGATTATATTCAAGACCGGCTATCATCCGAATTTGTCTTTCGTAGTCCGAACATCAAAGGCACTTGTGGCTGCGGCGAAAGCTTTAGCATATAATTGTGATATGTACCGGTTATGTACCTACATCTTCTAGAACACTGGGTAATTGAAGTGTATACTGATTAATAAATGCTTTTATCATGTTTTGAGGGATGGCGGTGGTGGAAGGAGAGGGGACAGCGAGAGAAAGGAGGAGGGAAGGGGGTATGTCCTTGGCACACGTGTCAGTTTTCGCAATTCCTGACTACTTTGACACGAGTATATTTGCTGTAGTACGGCTCTATGCTTTGAGTTGCTGCTACAAACAATATATTCCAGGTACCCTCACTTTTAACTAGTTCTATATTATTCCTAAACCACTTACTAGCAAGCGATGTACGCTCGGTGCTCTGCCTGTGATTCTGCCCCATCCGGTTGCTTTGTTAGTTTTACAGTTGTGTATTTTGTAACGAATAAATAGATCAGCACCGGAATGTCGTTCCACT